GAATATTATTTATAGGAGACTGTCTCCCTGTGCCTGACCCAAGATAATATCTATTGTACTCTAAAATTCTATGGTAACAGTCTCCACCAGGGTTATACTACTGCTAACATCACTTATCTTAACTTGGTATAGGGTAAAAGTACTTTAGTTTGTTAATTACTTTTTGTAATATGTATATAGATAAAAAAAACATAATAAAAAGCAAAAAATCTAATTAAAATGTCCTAATTTAACAACAGCTTCTTTTGTATTTAGTGTGGAGATATCAGTCAATATCAGGAAAGCTGTGTCCTAAGTATGTGATGCAGTAACTCATCACAAGTAAGGTCATTATATCTGTCAGGGGCCAACAAGGAAACATATTGTCAACAACCCCCACTGATACTCACAAAGAGGAAACATATTGTGAACAACCCCCACTGATACTCACAAAGAGGAAACGTATTGTGAACAAGCCCCACTGATACTCACAGAGGAAATGTATTGTGAACAAGCCCCACTGATACTCACAAAGAGGAAACGTATTGTGAACAAGCCCCACTGATACTCACAGAGGAAATGTATTGTGAACAAGTCCCACTGATACTCACACAGAGGAAATGTATTGTGAACAAGCCCCACTGATACTCACAAAGAGGAAATGTATTGTGAACAAGTCCCACTGATACTCACAAAGAGGAACGTATTGTGAACAAGCCCCACTGATACTCACAGAGGAAATGTATTGTGAACAAGTCCCACTGATACTCACACAGAGGAAATGTATTGTGAACAAGCCCCACTGATACTCACACAGAGGAAATGTATTGTGAACAAGCCCCACTGATACTCACACAGAGGAAATGTATTGTGAACAAGTCCCACTGATACTCACAAAGAGGAATGTATTGTGAACAAGTCCCACTGATACTCACAAAGAGAAACGTATTGTGAACAACCCCAACTGATACTCACAAAAAGATTTGTATACCAACCTCATTAAGTGATATGTATACCACCCATCTTCAGAGATGTGTATAGAGAGCTCTCTAAAAGATATGAATACTGAGCTCCCAAAGAGATATGAAGACAAATCTCCTAAAAGATATGAATACTGAACTTCTGAAGATATATATACAGACCTACCTAAGAGAGTTATATACAGACCTTTATAAGAGATATGAATACTGAGCTCCCAAAGAGATTTGAATACCTAGCTCCCAAAGAGATTTGAATACTAAGCTCCCAAAGAGATTTCTCCCAAAGAGATTTGAATACTGAGCTTCTGAAGATATATATACAGACCTACCTAAGAGATTTATATACAGACCTTCATAAGAGATATGAATACTGAGCTCCCAAAGAGATTTGAATACCTAGCTCCCAAAGAGATTTGAATACTAAGCTCCCAAAGAGATTTCAATACCTAGCTCCCAAAGAGATTTGAATACTGAGCTTCTGAAGATATATATACAGACCTACCTAAGAGATTTATATACAGACCTTCATAAGAGATATGAATACTGAGCTCCCAAAGAGATTTCAATACCTAGCTCCCAAAGAGATTTGAATACTGAGCTCCCAAAGAGATTTCAATACCTAGCTCCCAAAGAGATTTGAATACTGAGCTCCCAAAGAGATATGAATACTGAACTTCCAAATATATATGTACCGACCTTCCTAAGAGATATGAATACCGAGCTCCCTAAAAGATATGAAAACTGAGCTCCCTAAAAGATATGAATACTGAGCTCCCTAAAACATATGAAAACTGAGCTCCCTAAGAGATATGAAAATTGAGCTCCATAAGAGATATGAATACTGAGCTACCGAAGATATACATACCGACCCTCCTATGAGATATGTATACAGAGTTCCATAAGATATTTGAATACTGAGTTCCCTAAAAGATATGGATTTCCAGCTCCCTTAAAGATAATTTTTAGAACTTCTTCAGAGATATGATATACTGCATGATCTCCCTAAAACATAACAAACTCCCTAAGTATACCCACCCCCACAGAGATATGGATACAAATCTCCCTAAGAGATATAAATACCGACCTCCCTAAACTTCAGCAGTTGTTTGTTGAAAACACATCGCCTATAATCCCTGATACATGATTTTACCTTCTCAAAACTACATATCACTACCCTGGTGTGTGAATCAGCCAGCTTCATACACCTGACAGCAGGAACAGGTATTCTGATAAACCAAGCCACACAGGTATAAACAAATTGACTTTCAATGAAGAAGTTGTTGAATTTGTGAAATATGATCAAACTTCCAACAGACTTGTATAAAAGGTAAGATGATGAGGCTTAACAGGTAAAATGTAAAGGTGTGTTCCTGTCAAAAAGGTAATGTATCTGTCCAGGTAGGATAACGAGAATACTTGGTCAGGTAAATCCAAATTATTTTACCTGCTTAATAAAATTCTTTTGATCAATAAACAGGTGATGAATTACTTGAATTTTTGTGGGAAGAAGAAAGAGTTGTTTATGAGTACAATCACACAGCTTGTTTGTTATGAATGAAACTTCATAAACTGATGTAAACATCAAAACTATATATATTTATGTGACTCATATGTTGATAGAAACTCCTGAAGCATGCTGTACAAAATATCTTACAAAAACATGAGGGTATTTATGTTAGCTTTAGCTACAGAAACATAAAAATTACAAAGATTAACTTAAATTGATACGTGTTACTTCCACAAAAGGCCTAATGAGCCTGTTATGATAAGACCGCATGCATGTTGGCAAGCTTACATATCTCAATGACAATCTTACAGACTTATGTTTCTCATTGACAATCATACAGACTCAAGTTTCTCATTCACCATCTTACAGACTAATGAAAAAAGCAATGTTCCAACTATGATTGTAAGAATTGTCTCAGTGGAAATAAAAAAAACCAAGTATCTGCTCTAAGTTAAGTGTACTCCATACAAATTTAAGTTAGGGGTAGCCAATCTCAATTAAACCCTCTCACCTCACTAGATCTTATTACAGCCAGCATATCTTAAAAATCACCTGACAATTTTTCAGTTGATACTTTTTTAACATTATCAGGTATCACTAGATCAAAAGTGGGAATTCAGGCTATTTCAAAAAGATTGTCAAGAGAAAACATTTTGCTGTCATGTTTTATAATTTTTGGGCAAGGCCTTATAATGATTATTGATGACATATTTAGACAGTGTAGCATTTCTCCTGCCATGTACTGAAAATGTTGTTGAGGATCAAATCTAGACATTATAGGGTCCATATCTAGTGATAGTGGAGACATTCAGAAACTGTCTAGTGAGCAGCAGGACAGATAGAATACCAATCTCCAGAGAGTGTATATCACTTTATAAGGATGTAAACCTCCCATATCAGCTATATGAATAACGTTTATCTCAAACTTACAAAACAGGAAACCGACATGAATAAATCTTGTGGAGATAAGACACCTGTAGCCATATACTCTAAGATGTTAATAACAGGATGGTTTTAATGAGCAGCTTTGGGTGGGGATAGATTAGATAGAAATGTAACAACTGTTTAAAAAAAACATACATTATAAATTTTTAAAAGATGTCAACATTAATTCTACTAATGAAAGCACACAGCTTTCTTTTATTACATTAGAGATATAGGTTCTAAGGGAAGTAACTCTTACAATCTTGGGAAATACAACTAAGTAATTCTCAACAATCTTATTTCAGAATGTTTTAAAGCTATGAATTTTATTTTGGAGTTAATTATTTCATACTCACACATAGCTTTCTTTATTTTAAAATATTTTTAAGTTTTACAGTGCAGCTGATATTTATATTAATGAATTTATGTTCAGCATTGGAATCAAGTTCTCTGGATATAATGTAAAATTGAAAATAAGTTTTGTTCAATCCATGTACTAATTTGTGTGCTGAGTTTCTGTCAAAGATTTCCATAGTTTGACTAAACAGCACTGCTGAAGTCTGCAAATTTTTTCTAAATTATGATGTAACAAGCCATGGAGCTTTGTAAAGCTGAGTATCATATGATCAAATCTTTCTATCTACAGCCATATATTTAAGACTTGGTGTGGCATAAAATATCAGTAAGGATGAGTTGAGATTCCAAAGGTCTTACCAGGTTCTAAAAATCAGGGCCTACTGACCAGGTTATAACAATCTTTATAAGGTTATATTGGTCTATACCTAAGGGTAACAATGAGGTTCTATATTACAAGTTTCGACAGTCTAACCAAGAATGTATAGTTCAAATTCTGAAGTACTTGATTGGTCTAGCTTTAGCAAGTCTTAACAAGGTTATACCAGTCAAATTCTAGTCAGTTTAAACCTAGGTTTTACTAGTAAAGTTTTAACCTAGGTTCTACTAGTACAGTTTTAACAAGGGTCCACAAGTCAAGATTCTGTTTTCCACTGGTCTTATTCTAAAGAATATTTTGTTTTGTTTTGAAGGTCTTACCAAGGTTCTACTGGCCTTGTTCTGAAGGTCTTAACAGCGTTTAGCTGGTTTTCAGGACATAGATTCCACAAATCTGATAAGGCTTTTGGAGGATTTTCCATGTTTTACCTGTCATGCCCTAAAGAGTTCAATATTTTTTTTATACTTGTTTGCCTTTGAAGGTGTTCACTAGAATCTACAAGGCTTTTTGTTATCCTTGAGTGGTGGTGGCTGAAAATTACCTGATGGTATGCTGGAGTAACCTCTAATTTGAGATCGATTTTGGTAATTCCAAAAGCTGGCACTTTCCCATTAGGATATACTTTGAAGTCCCTAACATGACAAATAGTTATCTGATGTTTTTTTTTTTTTAAATAGTAACAGTAATGAAAGACAGCTTAAAAGCAGAGTATAATGGAACAGCCTCACTGATCCAAGACAATACATCCAATTTTCTTCATGAACCATGAATGGTTAGAGTTTCCTCACCAAATCCAAGCTGTATGGTTGTGTTGTCACCAGGATGAGCTATAAAAGTGTATAATGATAGAAATAATGGAAAAAAACCAAGTACTTACAGGAAGATGAAGCAGAGTATGGATGGTGTGTTCTGCCTTCCCTCGTCTCAAATCACAGAAAGCCACAAATGAATCTTCAGACTTGAGCTTGTCTTCTAGCAATCTAGGAAAGTAATATGAAAAAGATTTAAAGTCGATGTTCGTTACAAGTGAGCGCAGTCCTGTTAGTAGGTTCCAGTTGATCAGCTTTTCATTTTATCATATTATTGTCAGATAATTTACTGACAATTAAATGCTAGGGTAAACAAGTGCACTGCCCTGTGTCTGTATATATAACATTTCAGTTGTATGCCTTACATTCTCTACTTTTCAAACCAAAATAAACTAGATCTTTCCTTTAATGCACATTAAAACCTGATCAACAAAACACATTTGCTCATATACATGGCAGCTTTCTGAAATTTACCACAGAAAAAGTCCAACATTGATTGAATTAGACATGAAAACTTTTCTGAGAGACAGATATTTTTTTCTGGCAATGTCACGTCAGTTCAATGAACACAAACTATTCAGATTGTAACTCTAGCTGGAAGTCCTTTGAAAGGAAGTACTCATCATAATGCTTTCAGTTTTGAGTAAATAAATTTGTAGCAGGTACAACTGCCAGTAGCCAATGTAACAGCATATATCTAATTCTATCATCACTGTATCATGTGTGCTGCAGTTTTGTAAGGTGCATCTGTCCTCTGACCTTAGAAGAAAGCCTCTTTTGTTCTCTGATCCACAAAATATGTCCGATAAGGTAAACTCACATGCAGTGAGGATGGGTACAGACAGTCCTGCACGGATCAACTACACAAAGATGTAGAACCCCTAACACAGACACCTCATAGATTAGACATAAAAAGTGGTTCAGTGAAAATATACCTTTGCACTTTTATTTCAGATTTTACATAAATCAACTTTATTTTTTTAAATCGGTCATGATGAATGAACTTCAGTTTAAGAGTACAATCTTACCATTACGTCTTGTATACCTGAGCTTTACCGTGCTGTCCTTAATTTCATTCAAATTTATTCTACTGATACCTTGCTCAATCAAAAAAGAAATTTTTCAAATTAGTGGTACGAGTAAAAACAATTTATCTCAAAATATATGCTGACATTTTCTTGAAATATGATATAAGAAAATAAACATTTTGTAATCTCGTAACTAGGGCACATCCATCTTGTAAAAGTACATGCTGTTCGAATGTTCCATCTTGATACTAGGCCAGTAATGGTCAATAACATGGATATAGACAAGTTGTTTGTCATCAATCTCCCGTGTCACAAAATTTCTGTTCTTACACCGACTATCAAGACTACATGCATCTCCACCTTAAAGTGTTGCACAAAATATCACAAAAGATACGTTTATGAAACTGAACATTTACTGTTTATACTTTGGCATGATGCAACATTTATTCTTTTTTTTTTCTACTGTGGAGGATAATAAGAAGTTCTACTTACTGTCGAGTGTCTGCGTAGTTATCACAATATTCTTCGTAGTGATTCCATAGCTTGCTAGAGAACAGGTTACCTGCAACATGTGTACAGATTACAATACCCAGGGACATATGGACACGAAACATAGATTTTTACCTTGTCTCGTTCAGACAGGTAAAGAACATCTCACACAATATATCAAATACCTTAACAAGCCCATGTGGTTTCATATGATTACAGAATATCTGTAAATATTTATCTAATTAATTCAAATTCACATCACAGGTGGAAATAGAAACACTGCCAGAATAAATTAGAACAGAGGTGAGTAATCATTTAATCGTATTAGTAGTTCACACTGATGTCATAGGTCCACCACGTCATGTGATCATTGTCAGTCATAGTCTCCAATATCTTGTATGGGTGATGTACGTTCAATTTTAAAAATAACGTAATTTACAACATAAGCCTTCCATATATAGGTTCAATTTATTACCTCATTTGCCTAAATAGTAACATAGCAGTATAAACTACAGAAATTATCACATGTAGCTGGAAATCAACCTAAACACAGAAAAATATTTACATTAACATTGAAAATGTCAATAATTTAAATAAACTAGTCTGATCCCATTACCACTGACAAACCTCTGAACAATTATTTTTTATTCATGAAACCTTCAATAACATGGAAACACGAAATTTATATCATAACCAGCCAGCTTTTGTTGCGTGACCAATCACAAACCACTGATAAACTTTTAGTACGAAACTTTCCTTGTTCTATGATTAGAACCAGGAAATAAGTAAATACTTCCACGTCTCCTGATCCAGTGTCGAAAGGATTCAGCTCCTGAAGCCCCTTCCATTGTCTGAATTGCATGTACACCTACTATCAGACAACAACATGGTATATGTCAGGTAGCTAACGAGATTCTGACGCTAAGGTAAACAACCCTGTTGAACAATTCTGATTTGTTTTTGGGCCATATGACTTTATAATACTACATCAACTTTTATGACAATGACACACGCTATTGTTATAAAGCGTTGGTACATTCCAACCAATCGGTTGTTAAAATATTGCAAAAAGCTGAAAAATTTGAACTTTATAAAAACAGCGGATTGCGGCCATTTGTCATCGGTCGGTGGGATGTTGACATGGAGTGTACTGAAACAAAACATCACCATCGTATCATGACATCAGTGCACTAACAGAACTTATGACTTTTATTATATGTACCAATAATGAGGTATCACAGTATTGCTGTCTTGATACATCAACATTCAATAAACTGTTGTTGTGGACAAATCTAGTGTGAGGACAAAATTATGGTAGTGATGTTATCTGTATGTTTCAGTGCAAATAAAATCTATTTAGTGAAAGACAGTTATCCCAAACTATATTCAGGACCTCTTTCTCTGGACTTTAAATACATATTCAGAACAAACTTGTATTCCTAAGTTATGGGCATACCTAAACACTTTCCCTAAATATCTACTAGAATTTGGCTTTTGAAGAAAGACAATGTTTTTAAACCACTTTCAAGATTTCTTTTTTCTTTCAACACCATATTTCTTGGTAAATATCAATTTTTTTCCAAAAGCATGAAAGGAACAACCAATCCAATGCTGTTTTGCAGAAGACAGCATCCTCACTGTTATTAAAATTTGTATTCAAGATCAAACAGAAGCTGTAAGACTTTTTTCTATACAACGTTATTCTATACAAATGTATTTTACATTGGAAATTTAGTACATGCCCATAAAACCAAGTGTCACAATAAATTTACACAACTGATATTGGTCACGGATATATGACCTTATGTTGTCAGATATGACAACATAATTGTATGAAATGTTCATTTATTATCAAAAAATCGTTGACAATTCTATGGGGCCTGAATGCCACATTGTCAAAGATCACTAGAATTTCACTGGTTGCCCTACATATCAACGGTATGATCCTATCATCATTTTTATGACTCAAATTTGCCAGTTTTAAAACTTTTCACCACATGGAAATACTATACACTGTGTTTTGCTATCTTTAATTTCCATCTTTAAGATCAGAATTGTAATGGTCTGTATTTATGTATCTGTTAATCTCAAACCTTAAAATAGCACAAGGAACACAACAACAGTGATGAAATCAGGAAACACAATCTCAGTTACTAGAACACAATCACAGTCGATACTACTGGGAACACAACAACAGTGATGAAACCGGGAAACGCTATCTCAGTTACTAGAACACAATCACTGTCATGAACACAATCTCAGTCACTAGAACACAATCTCAGTCACTAGAACACAATCTCAGTCACTAGAACACAATCTCAGTCACTAGAACACAATCTCAGTCACTAGAACACAATCTTAGTCACTAGAACACAATCTCAGAACACAATCTCAGTCACTAGAACACAATCTTAGTCACTAGAACACAATCTCAGTCACTAGAACACAATCTTAGTCACTAGAACACAATTTCAGTCACTAGAACACAATCTCAATTACTAGAACATAATCTCAGTCACGATCACAATCTTAGTCAATAGAACACAATCTCAGTCACTAGAACACAATCTCAGTCACGATCACAATCTCAGTCACTAGAACACAATCTCAGTCACGATCACAATCTCAGTCACTAGAACACAATCTTAGTCACTAGAACACAATCTCAGTCACTAGAACACAATCTCAGTCACTAGAACACAATCTCAGTCACTAGAACACAATCTCAGTCACTAGAACACAATCTTAGTCACTAGAACACAATCTCAGTCACGATCACAATCTCAGTCACGATCACAATCTCAGTCAATAGAACACAATCTCAATTACTAGAACACAATCTTAGTCACTAGAACACAATCTCAATTACTAGAACACAATCTCAGTCACGTCACAATCTCAGTCACTAGAACACAATATCAATTACTTTTTTTAGAACACAATTACAATCAATGCTACTGGGAACACAACAACAGTGATGAAACCGGGAAATGCTATCTCAGTTACTAGAACACAATCACTGTCACCATTATTGGGAACACAATCTCCATTAGGATCACTGAGAACACATCCACAGTCAGGATTATTGGAAACACAATCACAGTCAATAGTACTGAAAGCACAATCACAGTCAATAGTACTGAAAGCACAATCACAGTCAATAGTACTGAGAGCACAATCACAGTCAATAGTACTGGGAACACAATCACAGTCAATAGTACTGGGAACACAATCACAGTCAAAAGTACTGGGAACACAATCACAGTCAAAAGTACTGGAAACACAATCACAGTCAAAAGTACTGGGAACACAATCACAGTCAATAGTACTGGGAACACAACCACAGTCAATAGTACTGGGAACACAACCACAGTCAATAGTACTGGAAACACAACCACAGTCAATACTACTGGGATCATAAACACATTCAAGATTACTGGGGACAATCATATTCAATATTATTGAGAACAAAATTACAGAATTACTGGGAACATAATCATATTCAGGATTGCTGGGAAGACAATAAGAATCAATATTACTGATAACACAATCAGTCAATAATATATACAGGTCTCATTAGTTTTTTAAAAATATATTTTCTTTTAAGTCTCAACTCCTAAGAGAAATTGGCATGATATCTAAGACTTTCTAAAAAGGAACATATATAGATACACTTTACTCCATATCTTATGGAAAATTTGAGTGGAAAAACTATTAAAAAATGGAAAACTATCAAAAAATATATTAAAACAAAAGAAAAATGAAGGGGATGCTTTGGATTTTTGAAGTAAATGTACATGGCAGTAAAAATTCAGAAATTCACATCCAAATTGTGAGCTATAAGTAGACATTCTATAAAGAATAAAAATAATTAATAATTAACATCAACCTAGTGGTAATGTATGACTGGACATGTGACTTACCTATCTGTGTTCTATTAGGAACCTTTTCTCCAGATTATATGTATGTATGGACATGTGACTTACCTATCTGTGTTCCATTAGGATCCCAGGACTTGAGAGTATCTTCTAACTGAAAGTAACAAAAAACATCTTCTTACTGAAAGTTACAATATGTATGAAGGATTGTCTTTCATTACTCTACACTTGACCTAAAATACAAATAGGATTACAAGTGTTCCAATGACCTGATCTATAAGAACTAGGTTTTGTTTTCAAACAGGTTTAGAGGGTATTCAAGTGACAAAAAGGAGCCACCAAGTAGAAAAGAAATACTTGAGATCGTAAGATAAATAAATCTCTATTTATAGGAACAGATGTGAGTGTTTAATTTCAGTTGGTCAATACTATAGTAATTCTGTATTAATGTGTTAATGGTTTAGATGTGTATTGTTGTTACCCATATAATGTGTCAATCTCCCTATATCTCACCATACTCTTGACATAGGCTTTTAACTCACAAAAATTATCTACCATTAAGCTCCAGGTCAAAGGAACAGGTGTCTCAAAATAGACATCAATGAAGTGTAGAGTACAAACTAGGTCGTCTTATAAAACATTTTCACAGATATTTCTCCAAAGAAAGATATTAGGAGAATTTGATACTTTTCCTGAGAACAGAAAATGTTACCTGCTCAACATATCATCCTGACACATGGATTTCATGGCTTGACAAAGTTTAACTTTATTTTTAACTAGTCAAACTTACAAACTAATTAATTATTTCTGGTGAACTCATAGAAAATTTACCCTCTCTGCTTTGTGGACAAATTTGATTAAAGTAACATATGAGTAATTACTAACTTCAGCGCCTTCAAATCCTTTCAATCCAGAGTACAACAGTAAGGACAACTTTAGCTGATGTCAAGACAGATATTTCTACATATTTACATTTAAACCGATATAGAATGCTGTTTATTGACATTTATTTCGTAAGCATTTTCTCCGTCACAGGTAATTTCTTATTCTGAAAGTTTAATTTCAAAATTCAAATAAGGTGTCACCTGAATAACTGACAAAAGAAATGTATGCTTTCGAGACACAAATTATGTGTGGTATAATCTTATATTTTTGACACATCTGTATTTTTTTTGCTTTTTCTTTTTTTTTCTGTAATTTATCATTTGACACTGTTTTCAATTTTCTTAAAAAAAATCATATGATTTAATTTTTATTTAACAGAAATGAAAGTTAAGCACTTCAATCGAACTAGTTAAGAATGACAGATGTTTCAGGACCCTACTTTGATCTGTTCTTATGGAATGGTTCATCATACCCCAATAAAACCAGTTCTATGTCACATCCCATTTAAAAGTGCACTTTGTTATTAGTTTAATTTAGTCATTCACAATGCATTTATTATCATAGATTTAAAAATATTTTGAGGTTGTCGTTAGTGATATAAGTTAATGATAAAGCTTGGGTGGGGAAATCACTGCAGCATAGAATGATAAATACACCGTACACGTTTCAGTCACAGATCATTTTGTGACAATGATTAATTTAACTTTTATTAAAATCTCATTTTAATGTTTGTTTGATCTAAATATGATCTGTAATTGATTGATTTGCATCAAATTCTCATTATTACTGCAGTTAAAATGCAGAACTAAATATTTTCACAAGAAAGACATCTATAAACTTAATGAAAACATATCTATCATATTGTTTGTTTTTGTATTCTTAAAGGTTGTACCTGACCTAAACTTAGACCAAAACTTGTCAATATGTCAGACATGAACAAAATCTGTCTGGCTAGCTATGTCTGATGGGTGACTGATGTCATCAACTGAGAATTGGTGTAAGGAGGACTAGTGAGTACTGTACAATTCCTGAATCAAGTTTACAAAAATACCTAAAGAAATCGCAAAGCGGTTATATACATATTAGAAGGACAGAAACAGTTGTATACAGAAGGACTGAAACAGTTACATACAGAAGGACTGAAACAGTTACATACAGAAGGACTGAAATAGTTATATACAGAAGGACTGAAACAGTTATATACAGAAGGACTGAAACAGTTATATACAGAAGGACAGAAACAGTTATATACAGAAGTACTGAAACAGTTATATACAGAAGTACTGAAACAGTTATATACAGAAGGTCTGAAACAGTTATATACAGAAGGACAGAAACAGTTATATACAGAAGTACTGAAACAGTTATATACAGAAAGACTGAAACAGTTATATACATATCAGAAGGACTGAAACAGTTATATACAGAAAGACTGAAACAGTTATATACATATCAGAAGGACTGAAACAGTTATATACAGAAGGACTGAAACAGTTATATACAGAAGGACAGAAACAGTTATATACAGAAGGACTGAAACAGTTATATACAGAAGGACTGAAACAGTTATATACAGAAGGACTGAAACAGTTATATACAGAAGGACAGAAACAGTTATATACAGAAGGACTGAAACAGTTATATACAGAAGTACTGAAACAGTCATATACAGAAGGACTGAAACAGTTATATACAGAAGGACTGAAACAGTTATATACAGAAAGACTGAAACAGTTATATACATATCAGAAGGACTGAAACAGTTATATACAGAAGGACTGAAACAGTTATATACAGAAAGAAACAGTTATATACAGTTATATATAGAAGAGACTGAAACAGTTATATATATCAGAAGGACTGAAACAGTTATATACAGAAGGACTGAAACAGTTATATACAGAAGGACTGAAACAGTTATATACAGAAGTACTGAAACAGTTATATACATATCAGAAGGACTGAAACAGTTATATACAGAAGGACTGAAACAGTTATATACAGAAGGACTGAAACAGTCATATACAGAAGGACTGAAACAGTCATATACAGAAGGACTGAAACAGTTATATACAGAAGGACTGAAACAGTCATATACAGAAGGACTGAAACAGTCATATACAGAAGGACTGAAACAGTCATATACAGAAGGACTGAAACAGTTATATACAGAAGGACTGAAACAGTTATATACAGAAGGACAGAAACAGTTATATACAGAAGTACTGAAACAGTTATATACAGAAGGACTGAAACAGTCATATACAGAAGGACTGAAACAGTTATATACAGAAGGACTGAAACAGTTATATACAGAAGGACTGAAACAGTTATATACAGAAGGACTGAAACAGTTATATACAGAAGGACTGAAACAGTCATATACAGAAGGACTGAAACAGTTATATACAGAAGGACTGAAACAGTTATATACAGAAGGACTGAAACAGTTATATACAGAAGTACTGAAACAGTTATATACAGAAGAAGGACTGAAACAGTCATATACAGAAGGACTGAAACAGTCATATACAGAAGGACTGAAACAGTTATATACAGAAGGACTGAAACAGTTATATACAGAAGGACAGAAACAGTTATATACAGAAGTACTGAAACAGTTATATACAGAAGTACTGAAACAGTTATATACAGAAGGACTGAAACAGTCATATACAGAAGGACTGAAACAGTTATATACAGAAGTACTGAAACAGTCATATACAGAAGGACTGATACAGTTATATACAGAAGGACAGAAACAGTCATATACGGAAGGACAGAAACAGTCATATACGGAAGGACAGAAACAGTTATATACAGAAGGACTGAAACAGTTATATACATATCAGAAGGACTGAAACAGTTATATACAGAAGGACTGAAACAGTTATATACAGAAGGACTGAAACAGTTATATACAGAAGGACTGAAACAGTTATATACAGAAGGACTGAAACAGTTATATACAGAAGGACTGAAACAGTTATATACAGAAGGACTGAAACAGTTATATACAGAAGGACAGAAACAGTTATATACAGAAGGACTGAAACAGTTATATACAGAAGGACTGAAACAGTTATATACAGAAGGACTGATACAGTTATATACAGAAGGACTGAAACAGAAGGACTGAAACAGTTATATACAGAAGGACAGAAACAGTTATATACAGAAGGACTGAAACAGTTATATACAGAAGGACTGATACAGTTATATACAGAAGGACTGAAACAGTTATATACAGAAGGACTGAAACAGTTATATACAGAAGGACTGATACAGTTATATACAGAAGTACAGAAACAGTTATATACAGAAGTACTGAAACAGTTATATACAGAAGGACTGAAACAGTTATATACAGAAGGACTGAAACAGTTATATACAGAAGGACTGAAACAGTTATATACAGAAGGACTGAAACAGTTATATACAGAAACAGTTATATACAGAAAGACAGATATACATATCAGAAGGACTGAAACAGTTATATACAGAAGGACTGAAACAGTTATATACAGAAGGACTGAAACAGTTATATACAGAAGGACTGAAACAGTTATATACATATCAGAAGGACTGAAACAGTTATATACAGAAGGACTGAAACAGTTATATACAGAAGGACTGAAACAGTTATATACAGAAGGACTGAAACAGTTATATACAGAAAGACTGAAACAGTTATATACATATCAGAAGGACTGAAACAGTTATATACATATCAGAAGGACTGAAACAGTTATATACAGAAGGACTGAAACAGTTATATACAGAAGGACTGAAACAGTTATATACAGAAGGACAGAAACAGTTATATACAGAAGGACTGAAACAGTTATATACAGAAGTACTGAAACAGTCATATACAGAAGGACTGATACAGTTATACACATAATGTAATGTGAGATGAGCCTCTTCTTGTTGGTCTAGGTCTACTTGCTATTGAGTATAAATATGTAGTATAAAAGCATTACTGTATCACTAGACTTTGAGTCTCTAAGATTATTACAGGATAAATTGGCACATTATAACTGAACATGTTAATTATTTTTCTTGATAGTAAGGAAATTACACTCAAGGTGAAATAACTTTTTCAGTGGTCTGAAGTCTATTTCACTTCTGAATGATATCATTCAGCACATGATAATGATATTGCACAAGGAACTATTTACATAATAAAACACGACAGAAGCAATACTGTTACCATCCAACACATACAAACAACAACCATTGATTCACCTTTATACAAAAACCCTAAAA